TAGAACATAGGTTGAAAAAATTTAAAACATAGGAAAAAAAACTTTAGAATATAAGTAGACTAAATTTAGAACATAGGGAAAAAAAAAATTAGTGCATAAGTTTATAACATAGAAAAAAATTTAGAACATAGGTAGAAATTTTTTTGAATATAAGCCGAAAAAAATTTGGAACATAGGAAAAAAAAATTAGAACATAACCAAAAAAAAAATTAGAACATGTGCAAAAAAAAATTTAGAACATGGGAAAAAAAAAATTTAAACATAGGAATTTTCAACTCAGGCGGAAAAATTTAGAACATAAGAAAAAAAAAATTATAACATAGGAAAAAAAATTACAACATACATAGGGGAAAAAATTAGAATAAAGGAAAAGGTTTAGAACATAGACAAAAAATTAAAACATAGGAAAAATCTTAAACATATATATAGAATATAAGGGAATTTTTTTTAAAAAATAGGAATATAAACATAGGAAAAATTATCTTTCAAAAAAAATGTATCACATTAAAAATAATATAAACAATTGTTAGACAATAAGAGAGTGGCCATGTTCGAGTTTACATCATGTGACTTCAATTTCTGTTTGGGAAAAACATCGACAAGGTTTAGATTAAAAATTTAGACAATTATGAGATTCATGACAGTAAAAACATGTCTAAATATTTAGCTTTGTATGTGTCATTAACTCATTATCACTTTTTCATCAAGTCACATCAGCTTAGTCAATAGGGAAGGTCACATTCAGGAAGTTCCCAATTATCATTATCAAAATCATCATCTTCCTTCTTTGTAGTATTAATATTATTCTATTTTGTAACTCTTGGTGGGAAAATAAATAGAGACATGAACACAGAAACCATCACATACAAAATCCCATCACATCAACTAATATATCGTATACCACACTTACACCAGCACGAACATATAAAAAAACCATAGGTAAATTTTAGAATATAGATGGTAAAATTTAGAACATAAAATAAAAACTTTAGAACATGTAAGTAAACTTTAGAACATAAGAAGTAAACTGAAATTAAAGCATTAAAAACAACTAAAATTACTCGAATGAGTAACAGAGGAAGAAGGAGAATCATGTTCTAAATTTTTTCTTATTTTCTAAATTTTTTTCCAACGTTCCAAATTTTTGCCTATGTTCTAATTTTTTTTTTCCTATGTTCTATATTAATTATTGTGTTATAAAATTTTTCTACCTATATTCTAAATTTTTTTTCCTATGTTCTACAACAGAACCTACGTGGGATTCGAACCCACATCTTATGTGCATTTGCACAATGCTCTCCCGTTGAGCTTGTAGGCTAATGTATATAAAAGCTTTAAACTACAAAAATTACTAAAAACTAAATAAAAAAAATCTCAAAATTAAATCATGCATAAGCAGGTTACGACAAAGAAATAGAAATGACTAGCTGAACATATGCAATGATATTTTAAGTTTGAACAACATACCAATAATAATCGAAAAAATTGATTATATTCTTTAGAACATAGTAAGATAACTTTAGAACATAGATTGAAAAACTTTAGAACATATAAAGAAACTTTAGAACATAAGTATTAAATCCACCATTCCTTTGGTCTAAATAATTTAGAACATACTAAACTAATTTACAATTCACATAATTCATTTAGAAATTCTGAAATTACATAATCAGCTGCAAAACACAACAGTCATATCACATTTTGCACGGATCTACAATAAATCATGGAAAATTGAAAAAAATTATAAGCTACACAAGTCTCAGCCTCGGGTACTACACGACAAGTACTTTCACAACCCCAACATATCTATCTGCACTACTGACATAAACAATAAAGATCCCTGTTCACAAATTTTGAGTCACACTAATAAGGAACTTCAAGGTAAAAAGCACCATTGCATAAAAATAAAAATAAAAATAAAAATAAAAACTGAACAGCAGCTATTGTCTTTGTTCGCTAGATGAAATGCATACAACAATTAAGCTACCAGGAGTCGCTATGCATAACAGATTAACACCACCAAAACACCAACCACGTCAAAATACACAAGCACATGTTAGTCTGGGACTAAGGATCTTGCCTCTTAGGCGCTTAGCATCTCAGGAGGAACTATTGATTAAAATTAACATTGCAAACCATTTCAAACACTATGACCATCAAACATTGAAATATCCAAAATGCTCCGAGCACGTCAATTAAAATCATGTCCAAAAAAAACTAAGATATACAACTGAAACTTAACATTCAAGCTACATAGTTTGGAGTGTTTTCCAACAATTAGAGACAAGAATCGAAACACCATAAGAACCCTTTCACAAAATAACACCACTAACCAGGCTCCTGGTGGAATCCATCAACATCACTGCTGACCCAAACATACCATTAAACTAGCCGACAGCAAACATCAACCTTAAACTAAAACAATAGAGGTCCAAGGAAATTACTAAAAAAAAAAAAAAACTGATAGAATGAACAGTCATATAATCGAACACATATGTATCAAAAAATCGAAAAAAGATCAAACAAAAATCGAACTGATTAATTGCAAATTTTCGAAATGATGAATTCGAACTGATGAAATCGCAAAAAATCAAACTGGTGAAATCACAAAAATCGAACTAATTAATTCGAACAAAATCAAAAGATGAAATCGCAATTAAAAAAAAAATTCGATATGAGGCTGATAATCACAATAATAATCCAAATTAGCAATCATAATCATAATAATAAAACAACGTACCAATAATAATCGAAAAAATTGATTATAATCGCAATTTTGTAGAAAAGAGCTGTAAAAATACAAAGATTTTCGGCTAAAATATCGAACACAAATTTAGCAAAATAATTGCAATTAAAAGAAACTGAAAAGTAATCGCAGAAAATCGAAAATATGACGAAAGAAACGAATAATTTTGCAAAATAATTGCAAACTCAGCACAAATATTCAACATATATAATCGAAAATTGAAAAATAAACCAATGCTAAAAAACCATACATCCAAAATAATCGAAATATACAAAGAAATTTGATCAAATTGATAAACTTACAATGATTTACGGCAGAATCATAGGAAAAATAGGAGAGAGAAAGCTTGGAAAATTAGGAGAGAGAAAATTATGGGGTTCATTGAAATGTGAAAGAGGAAGATGAGAAAGAGCAATTTCAGCGGTTGATTAAATCTCATCCTATGACCCAGATGGGTTCTTATATATAATGGGTTCTTATATGAGCTTTCCTCTATATATTCAAAATACCATTTAGTGGAACTATAATGCAATTATGAAATAGAGTTAGATATACTTCCGATTAACTTTTCTTAATGAAGTGACTTCGACACCAAACACTTAAGGTCTGTAACCAAGGGATTTGTTAAACATCGCCCGCGTTTTTCTACATAAAGCCCACATTTTTTAAAAATGTTGACATTATTGCCCTTGTTTTAATTTTTACCGAAAATAAAATTTTTCACTCATAAAAAATGTGGAGCAGGACTGGATCGCCGAGTGAAACCGAAGAGCCCTCAACGTCGGGTAGATGCACCGGAGAGACGCCGTTGACGCCGGAAAAGGAGGTACGAAGCCATCTAAAACCACGAATTGGCGGCTGGCGTCCTGCCGGGACGCCGTGACCGTAGTGGTGGCGCCTAGCCAGGACGCCGCCACCGTGGCTCTAGCGCCTGGCCAGGACGCCGCCACCGTGGCCGTGACGTCTGGCCAAGACGCCGCCGCCACGGTGGCGGCGTCCTGGCCAGGCGCCACCGCCACGGTGGCGGCGTCCTGGCTAGACGCCACCGCCACGGTGGCGGCGTCCTGGCTAGGCGCCACCACTATTTTTTTTTTTTTTTTTTTTTAATTTAATTTAAAATTTGTTTATTTTTTTTTTTTTTGTGTTACAATTTTTTTCTTTTTTTTTTGGTTTTTTTTTTGTTTTGTTTTTAATTGTTTTAATTTGTTTTTGTTTTTAATTTATTTATTTGTTTTGTTTTTAATTGTTTTAATTTGTTTTTGTTTTTGTGTTACGGCGGGAAAGGAGTGCGTTTGAGTACATTCGTGGTCGTGGTCGTGGTCGTGGCCGTGGTCGTACATCGTCATCAAGTGGTAGTCAAACATCTTCGTCGGTGAATATGCCCGGCACCGGTACGGTACTTTAGTTTAATTTACTTTTTAGAGTGTTTGTTTAGTTTTCTGCTAACTTGTTAATTGTGTTTTTTGATGTGTGCAACAGGCAGAATGGACATTGAACATTTTCCATATAAAGACAGGATCCCTAACATCATGATGCCGTTCCTGGACGGGTGGAATGATGTGGTTGCAGATGGTAACTGTGGATTTCGGGTTGTGGCTGATGTGTTTCAGATGGGTGAAGACAACTACGGTTTAGTGCGTCAGTTGATGTACAGTGAAATCGCCTCAAACCGAGCTGTTTATCGCCACGTGTACGGACAGGACTTGGATAGGTCTCTGCAGCGTATCCGGTGGGGAGGAGGACGTTGCGGTCAAAATCATTGGTTCGACGCGCCCCTTGATCTCTTCGCCGTTGCAAACATCTACAAGTGTGCAGTGATGCATTTCGGCCTTGGTTTGCATGGTCGAGCTTACTATCCGTGTACCACGGTTCTGCCTTGGTGTTCGCGTGAGACCGTCACCAGACTGGTAAGAGAGGTTGCTATTGGATTTCTGGGGCCGTCATACAGACATTTCATCCGACTGGACCTGTCACCCGATTTTCCGGTCCCACCGATTATACCAACGTGGTACACCATTCGTACAGCAAGCTTAGAGGGCTGGGATGCGTTATATCATGACCGGGTGCAGCAGTGGAACAATCTAGTTGCCTTTTCTATGTGACCTAATATTGCTATTGCTATGTTTTTCCCATTTATTTAATTTTCGGATTCTAATTTTCGTATTTAGTTTTCCCATTTAAATGTGAACCTGTATTTAGTTTTCGTATGCCCACTAATTACAACTTAAAATAAAAGTTATAAAAACTAAAAATATAATGTCAAATTCTAAGAACTTAAAATAATAATTATAAGAACAGATAATGTTAACTTTTACAAACAACTAGGAAAATGTTTTATAAATGCACTGCCGACATATCAATAATCTCTCTGTGACGCCCACTGCCACTGCTCAAGGGCCCGTTCCAGTTCATCAATAACAGCTCTGCCTGTTGCAGTCGTCATGTTGTCCCTCTCCTCAAAAAGTCTGTGTCCCAACTGCGTCATCTTTCCCATCCACTACACATAACAAAACACATAAAATTCAATAACGACGTATTATGAGACGTATTATATGAAAAAAAAACACAACTACAAATGTTTTATGAGACGTACCGCATCCACGGCAGTGGGCGGTGGCACATCATCATCATCGGCGTCGTCGCCGTGGTGGACGTCTCTGATCAACCTCGGGTGTGAGTGCCGGTTGTACCACTCCATGTAGTGCTGGTCACACATGGCAGCCACCCCAGTTGGCGGCCGCTGCAACTGCTCAATCCATATGCGGGCAACCATCGGAAACTGCTCCCACGTGCCAATCATGCTTGCCGGCCATTGGACGACGTACTCCTTCAACGACGCAGATCGGACGGCCTTACTGGGCCATGCTGGTGGAGGAGGAACAACTTGGACATATCCAAGCTGGAGAAGACAGCGCTGCGGCATGTACGCCTCTACGATCTCACGATACTGAATCAGTCCCGTGTAGAGGGTCCTGGGTACCCTATTACTAGGGTTCTGGCCGAAAGGCATCCAGTTCACCTGCACATTTTTTAAAATTAGTAAGATTCATACAATAAACACATCAAACTATAAAAGTAGAAATAATTTAAACACTTTACCTCTAATGGGGACATCCTGTCAAGCAATAACCGTATCGATCGCAGGCGGTCAATGGACTTCTTCTCGACACGCGGACTCCACGCACAGGCACGTGGCTGGCCATCCCCAATAGGAACCGGGTCGCGGTGTGGTCGAAACGCCGGGAAATACTCGTATATCCACGTCTGTAACAACGTCATACATCCAGTGATACCTGCCGCATCAGCCCGGCTCGAGAATCCTAACTGGCGATACATGTACGCTAATGTAGCCGACCCCCAAGAAAACTGGCCTACTCTGTCGGGCTCACACGCGTCAACTATGTCGCGTGGCCTGAGCTTGTTTCCGCTCTTATCCGGAAACAAGGTACACCCGAGAAGAAGAAAAACATATGCAGCCAGCTGTGTGTCCTGCGTCCTACGTGAAGTGGGGTGCAAACATCGCTGCAAAACTGCTGCGATCTTAACACCGCCGTGATCCCACACACCAAGTGCCGCTGTGTACAGCGCAGCCCTATCCACCGCCAACAGCTCCGCCAATAATTCTGCCTGATCCGCATCTGTGACAACAGATGCTCGGTTTCCCTCTACGGGAATCCCAAGGATGGCCTCGACGTCATGCAACATGATCGTCATCTCACCGAACGGAAGGTGGAAAGAGTTCGTGTCCGGCTGCCATCGCTCAACGAAAGCCGTGATCAGCGTCGAGTCAATCCTCTCATGCATGGTGGCAGGAAGGTGGCTCACTCTAGTGGCCCTCAATCGGCCGACCATCTCGCTCTCCTCCGGCCAAGCCTCAGCCCAACTACACAAGAAGTTACAAGTCCTCTCCCGGGTTTGGCATTTCAAAATGCCGCTATCCAAAGCCCGCTCTTGGTCCTCCCAAATACGGGTAGCGATGTGTCCTAGAAAGCTAGGAATCACACTCCCGTCTATAGGTCCCCCAGCCACCTCGCCCCTCACCACCCAAGAATCATTAACGGCCCTCGACCGTTTTCTGCTAACCGCAGACACAGTGGACGCAGATGATGTGCCAGATCTACTAACAAATCTACCATCTCTACCCTTACGCACGTCTACCCTACGCGTCTCATACACATCATCAAGCCTCTGACTGAATGGACCGTAATCATCATATGGTCCACTCTGATCGTCCACATCCTCATCTGCATCCTCCTCCTCCTCCTCCTCATCACCATCATCATCTTCATCATCCTCAGAATAGTGCACCCGTTCTCTACGAGCCGAGGCCGAAATACCACGGGATCTAACGTGTCTGGGCCCCGAGCTCTCCATTGAGTTCATCGTACTTCTCATAATGTCCATACTCTTCCCAGCCCCAGAACGAAAATACGATGCCTAACACAAAATAACAAAACATGTAATATGCAATATAAACATGTAATATAAACATAAAAAAAGTAATTAAAATAAATAAATAAAACAATATACATATGATGGAAAATAAATTAAAAACATTACAAAATATTAACAACCTAAAAATAAAAAAATTAATAACCTAATAAATAAATAAATAAAAAATTGGAAAAAAACAAAGCAAAAAAAAAAATTACCCAAAAAAAACAAATTGGAAAAAACAAAGTGAAAAATATAAAATTATAAAAACTTAAAAAAAGAAGAACATCAAAATTTTAAAAAAAATTTATAACAAAAAAAAGGGAACATAAAATTTTTTTTAAGTAAAAAAACTAATTCAAAAAAAAAAAAAAACAAGAACAATAAACAAGAACATAAAATTAAAAATTAAAAAAAAAAAAGAGGAACATAAAATTTTTTTTAAAAAAACCAACAAAATTTAAAACAAAATAAAAAAAAAATCAGAAACATAAAATTTAAAATTAAAAAAAAGAAAAACAAATTTAAAAAAAAATCAAAAAAAAAATAATTATTTTCGAAAATTAAATTTCAAATTTAAAACCAAAAAAAAATTAAAAAAAAAAATAAAAAGGCGGCGGCGCCTAGGCCAGACGCCGTGACGGTGGCGGCGGCGTCTAGCCCAGACGCCACTACCACGGCGGCGGCGCCTAGGCCAGACGCCGGTGCCGTGGTTCTGGCGCCTGGGCCAGACGCCACCGCCACCGTCACGGCGTCTGGCCTAGGCGCCGCCGCCGTGGTAGTGGCGTCTGGGCTAGACGCCGCCGCCGTGGTGGTGGCGTCTGGCCTAGGCGCCACCACCGCCTCCGACCTTTTTTTTTTAATTTTTAAACACAAAATTAATAAAAAATACCTTCTCGCCGGAAAACCGCTGTCCACCCGCCGCCTGTGCCGCCACTTCCTTGCCGGGCCGCCTCGACATCGCTCGGAAAGTTTTTTAGAGAGAGAAAGTGGAAGTAGAGAATTGAGAGAAGAAATTGTGTTTTTTACTTTGAGGGCAAAAGTGACAATTCACTCTAATTTTGTGGGCTTTATGTGGAGATTCGCGGGCGATGTTTAGCAATTGAGGTAACCAAAGGTAGTTGAAATCGTGAATTCATATAGTCAGCCATATCTTCAAGAATAGGAACACATAAATAGTGATCTACCAAATTTGGATGTTTCTTCACATTGAACTAACTAGAATTTTGGCCCGTGCGATGCACAGGCTATTAATATTAGTAGTTAAATTAGAAGAAAAATATGTTTATGTTATGTCTTTTATTTTACTTTATTAAATGTTTTTTCTTAAAACAAATGAAAATTTTATTTAAAAGGAAGAGGAATGACTGACAATTGAATGCACCCATAATAGTACTTGTAATAAGTTAGGGGATATGAATTAAACATTAAATGTAGTAAATTAGTAATAAAGTTATGTTTTTTAAAAAAAAAAAAATTAAAAGGCAAAATTGGCTTTAACACCCTGAATTATAGTTTGGATGCAACCAACAGCCTGAACTTTGACTAATAGGTAGAACACAACCAACTATTAATACGGGTACAGCGCATGCCATCAATTGCCCAATAATTACCAGAATTGTCTTAGTTTGAGTGCCCAAAATACCTATTTATTGCATGCATTGCACCCAAATCAATATTTGATGGTGTGTCAGTTACTACTCAAAGTTGAAGGTGTTGGGTGCACCAAAGGTATAGTTTATTTGAGGCCAATTTTGCCTTAAAAATGGAGGGAAGGGGGACCCATGTCATTTGTTACCGAACAATAATGTGAGATAATTAATGGGATTCTTATAGCTTCTTACATGAATTGTGAAATAATTATCACACGGATTCACGCATATTTAATTATCAATCTACCAAAAGATGTACGTGTGTGTGAGTGAGAGAGAGAGAGAGAGAGAGAGAGAGAGAGAGAGAGAGAGAGAGAGAGAGAGAGTATGTGTGTATGTCCCCTTAAGCCCCCTCCTCCCACCTTGCCGCCCCCTTCACCCACCCAACCTTCCCTTTCTGCATCCACCTCCGCCTCTTTCAAAGATGTCGTGATTTCTCCTTTCCCAATCTCTTCTCCCCTCTCCCCCCCCCCCCCTTTATGCCCCCTCATTCCTGCTCCGTTTTGTTCCACTTCCTTCCCCTTTTTTCAACCCTGATTATGAGGTTTTTATTTCTCTTCCTAGTGCCACCTTATCCTCCTTAGCCTCTCCAAGGTCCTCCTCTGTGTCATTGGAAAACCTTTTGCTCTTGATCCAGCACTTGATTACTCTTGGAGCCTGCCTAGCTCTGTTTCCATCTCGACCCTTAGGAAGGGCTTCTTTGTTGTTAAAGTGCCTCCTGTTTCTTACAACAAAATTTGTTAAGGAGATCCTGGTTCATTAACTCTTACTACCACTTTGTGCAAGTTTGGTCTCCTGTTGATATCTAACCCTTGGAAGCCTCAATATCCTCCGTTCCCGTTGGGTCTCCTTATCTGAACTCCTAATGGAGCTTTTTGTGCTCAGGTTTCTAAAGCAAATTGGGAATTCGCTTGTTAAGAAAAAAAAATCACCTCCTCCAAACATTTATGTTAAAATAATATATATATATATATATATATATATATATATATATATATATATATATATATATAAGAATAGAAAAATTGTTAAAGATTAAGAGATCATTAGAAATATACAAAATGATATAGTATATAAAATTATTGTTAGATATTAAGAGATCACAAGAAATATACAAACTAAAAGATAAAAAAACTGTGCATCGCACTTGGTTAAATCTAGTTGTTACAGATAACGAGCTAGGACATATTTTTAAGACCAACTTATAAAAATTTTAATTTGTCATAAACCTTCTTATATATATAATTTTTTTGGCAAGAAGAAACCGATTTTTTTTTGTCAAAATAAACCATAGCTCAAAATTCAGTCATTGACATAATTTCCAAGCATTGACCTATCATGTGTCACGCATGTGACTTATTAAACACCCCCTAAAAATCCTTTTTTTCCCCCTTTTCCAATTTCCTTCCAATTAATCATCTATCTCCTCTCTGCTACATCATCATGCTTCCCCAATTGTGTTTGAATTCTTCACCAAACTTCAAAAATGTTGCAAAACTTCATTTGAAGGCTAATTAAGGATGGTAACGGTGATAAATTTCTTTTTTCTGTTTTTCTAATTCTTTGGGTCGTGGTTGACCTAGTTATTATTTTAATTAGGTTTTATTTTCAATTAAGTTTTTCACTAATTGTGGTGACAACTAACAATTGGTTTTCCAAAGCTTAAGCATTCTTCTTGCCACTTAAGCAAAGTCATTATTTCAACCAATGAAAAATGAGATTCACATTTTATTTTAGAATTAAAAAAAAAAAAAAATCAATCGCCTCATTAGTTAAACTAATGAATGAGATTTGAGGTTTTTTTTTCCAAAAAAAAAAAAAAAAAAAATACAACGAATAGTGATATAGGATTTAAATTATATGAATATAAAAATTATCTTCTCACATCAAACTTTTATCGTAATATCCAAGTATCCGATAGATGTGATAACAAATACAAAGACATTATTTTGACCAATGAAATAAAAAAAAATACATTTTATTATAGGGTTAAAAAATCAATCGGCACACAAGAAAAATTAACGAATGAAATTTGAGAGTGTAATTTCAAGTTTTAGATAAAAAAAAAACTACGAATAATGATTTAGAATTTAACTTATTTAAAAAACAAAAAAAATATTTTTAACATTCAATATTTTATTCTAAATCCAATGAGATACTACATTTATAACTTTTTTAATAACATTAATTCAATTTCAACATAACTAACTTCAACGAATAAGGCGCATTATAAATTATATAAACACTAGTTTTATGCTTGGACGATGCCCGGATTGTCCTAAACTTTTTAGCTTGAATATTAAATACGATCATATAACCCCTTTTGATAATGTAAAATATTTAGACATATGATATCATATTGCTTATTTATATAATAGTGTACTTTTTGTAGTTTAATTTGTAAATAGATATAAATGTTATTATTAACTTGATTATTTTTTTATTGCACTTAAATTATTTCTAGTTAATTGAAAGTATTTTTACCAAACTAAAATAATTTTTACTGATTTTCTATTTTTTATTAAAATATATTATAAATGGATCTCATT